AATAGGTGCATCTTGAGACTGTAATGTTAAGTGAGGTAAATCACACACAAGCTTAAATATTGCGTGGTGTCTCTTACATGAGAAACTCAAAGTATAAATAAATTAAAGAGAAAGATAAAAGATAGATAATAGGAAAGAGAGATAAATCTTTTGCAAAAGGGAAGGGGTCAAAGAGATAGAGGGAGGTGCAAGGAGGGGAGAAGAGAAGGAAAACAAAATGAAGGGAGGTGCAAGGAGGGGAGAAGAGAAGGAAAACAAAATGAAGATGTGTTGTATGTCTGGATAAACTCCTTGTGAGGAATGTAATCATTAGGTACTGCAAACATGGACTAATAAAAACTTTTGAAAAGAAATAAAACCATAAAATCTACTATGCTTGCACACGGGTGCACACTCACAGAAGTTGGAATTGGAATTTTTATGTGTTTAGAAATTTTCCAAATATAGAATTTCAATGAGTGTTGAGCCAATTTATAAAAATATCAAAATGAAATATCTTCTCATTAGTGTGTGGGAACTGCTGATTGACTTCAGGAATCATGGAAATATACAACTGCAATTGCTGCAAATACCATCATGTAATTGGGACGGAAAATGATTCTGTGATTAATTATGCAAGCCAGTGATGGCCTTTTTCAGTACGATTCATGAGTCTTGTGAGCATCTTTTTTGAGATACTACAGGCATTAAACCAAGGATCAGACTAAATTGAATTTGCCACCAGACTTTTGAACCTCGCTGTCACCAACAGTGAAACAAATATTATTAACAAATAATGATGCATGTTAAAACATATTGAAAACAAAATTCCAATTCCAACTTCTGTTCATACTGAGATTTTCTAATTGATATTTACCATTTGAAAAGTCCTGATGTATACTTCATTTGTAAAATACATTTCAAAATCTAAATATTGGGTATTTTATCCTTATTCATCTTCTTTTAATTTTCTATGATCATAATATAGCATTTATATTTTTTTGGTGATGAGGGTATTGATCTCAGGGTCTTTGCATCAAGTTACACGCCCAGCTGTTTTAACTTTGTTTTTGAGATGGGGTCTCATTAAATCACTGAGTTGTCCAGGATTACTCTGAACTTGAGAGCCTTCTGCCTCAGCATTCCAGAGTGCCACTGTGCTTGACTTGATATCTATATACTTTTACAACTTCAATTTATCCTCTGTTATTTATTATAGTAGTTTTACATAGGAGTAAGTAAACATATATACTATAAAATACACCAAAATATATAATATGTTTATATTACTACATATTATATATTCCTAATTATAGGAATTAGTGTGACATAGCATTACTTATTTGGAGAGTAAAATGAATAAACACAGTGAGATTTCAGCGAGTGGGAGACTCATTTCTAAACGCTTCTTCTTGTCTCCTCTGAAACAGAATCTAACCGCATGTTCACTCATGAACTTCCACAGAGAGACTTGACTGGTGTGGATTTAGGTTCAGTTTTATCACTGCTAAGCTATGAGGCCTGAGAAAAATGAAACCGTTTTGGCTTTTCTTTCCCTTTTATAAAAAAAGAGCATGCAGTAGTATTTAATGAATTGTTGAAAGGATTAAGTAAAATTAATGTACATAAAATAATTAGAATAATGTACAAAATAATTTAGTGGTTACCAAGATCACTAATTTTACTCTCACCAATAATAACTGTTAACATTTACTAGTATTTAATAAGTGCTAGGCACTATATTATAGATTTTTACATGTATTAATTCACTTAATGCTCATTTAAAGAAGGGAACAAGGTGGTGTTATGGCTTGTATTTAGATGTCTTCATGTGGTGATAGGTGGGGCTTTATGGAGGTAGCTGGAACTGGAGTGTGTGATACTGAGCTCAAGGGAATATGATTACTAAATTAGCCCATTCACTGGTTTGGCATTGTTCTGGGTGGAATTAAGGTTGTCCCAACCTGAGTGTGAGTGCTATCTGTCCTAAGGGCAGGTAGCCTGGGTAAGATATAAGGGGCAGAAAGAGAATTGCTGCTTGTCACTTGCTTGCTGTTTGCTGTCTCTTGCCTGCCCTGCCATGGACTGTTTCTCCTCTATGATGCCACTCTACCATGCCACTCTGCCTTGAAATCAGCCAACTATGGACTGAAACCTCTACAAACTGAGCCAAATAATTTTTTTCTCTAATAATTTTTGGTGTCAGGTATTTTTGTTTTAGCAATGAGAAAAGTAGCTAAAATAGTTGGGAATGTATACAGTGTTACTCCCACTTAGGAAATGAACAGACTTGCACACTGGAAGTTAAATTTTGTTGGCATAATATGAGTGGGTTAAAACTCCCTTTTCGTTTAGAGAATAAGTCATTTTGGCCATGGGAGACAAACAGGAAGGCATTTTTGTTACAGTAAGCTTGCAAAAGTACTTTTGCACTAATTGTCATAAATTGAATTAAACTATCATAATGCAGTTTTTTGTCCTTAACATCACATTTGATCATCAAAGTTGCATTTATTTCTTAATATGAAATGAGAAATTTATCTCTAATACTTTTGATCTACTTTGAAATGGTTCATGTAGAATGTGAATTAGTTGGTCTTTGACATTTAAAAGAATCCAGAATGAATTATGACACTCTGTGTACGTGTTTATGAATTCCAACTAATTGTGACAATCTCTGGGTCACATTTGATTGACCTCAAATGCTGGTATAAAAAGTACAATACATATTAGCATGGTGCAGATGAACATTTTTGTCGGGGGGGGGTAGTACCAGGAATCAAACTTAGGACCTTGCGCTTGCCAGACAGGCGCTTGTGGCTTGGCCACTGAGCTATATCCCTGGCCCCAGATGAATATTTCAAGGCACTGTTGGGTGTGCAGTGTAACAGCATTTTCATGATAGGTGTTCTTCTAGTCAATGATGAATTGAAAGTAGGGAGCTACTTGATCAATGTCTATAACTTTCACCTTTAGAAATAAAGCTGTAGAAGTCACATGTTTTCTTTTCTATTGTAAAATCTTGAGTGTCTAATTTGTGTCTAGCACCACCATATAAATTGGGCACCTCACAATGTCACAATCAAACTTCTTGCCTAAAGCAATTCGCAGTGAGTTAGCATTGTAAGAATATAATGACAATGCACAAATATAAGTGTCAAAATATCTGATGATTTGAGGAAAGTTTTGAACTATAGGAGGACTCTAGAATTTGAGGAGGTCTCTATAAAGGAGATGATATTTAAGCTGTATCCTCAAGATGGGAACATTTTTCCCCATGGATGAACTAGGCATTTGACCCAGCAGCTGCTTACTGGATGATGAAAGATTGGAGAAAGCATAGAAAAGTCAGGTCAGAGTGACTAGAGAGACATTGGAGGGTTGTGCGTAGAGAAAAAAGGGTTCATCATAGATGGTTTAGCTTTTACCCCACAGAAAATAAGAAAAACAAGATGTGGTATGTCCAGTGCAGCTCTCAAAGTTCCAAGGGGAGTGGGGATGGTGAGAGGATGAAGTAAAGATAAGAGACAATATACAGAAAGCTGAGGTTAAGTGGAGCCCTCTTTCTGGATGGGAGGAAAAGGAACTGCTTAACCACTGCAGTGTGTTTATTTATACATTTGTCAGGTTAGTGTCACGTGACACCCCTTTGCCTAACAACCTGTTCTTTGATTGAGAGGGGGTACATGGTGTTTTTCTTCCAGACTGGAGCAGCTTGTTTATGTGGCTCACCTTGGGTTCTCTGTTTGTGGACAGGCCTTGCTTCACCCCTGCACATGTAATCAATCTCCAGCTTTAGTCACTCTCCACCAAGATGATTTCCAAAATGAAATGCCCACAGTGCTTTAGAGTCCATGGAAGACCTTGCAGGCGCAACAGTGAATGTGTATATTTCTTATCCTTGGGATACTCACATGGTACTGGAACACACAGAGGAGCAGTTGTTGTTTGTCCTGACAATTGATGTTGAGGATCACTGGAATAATTTTTAAGCAGACTCAATGAAATTCAGCAGATGATTAAAGACTGTAGAAGAAACCTAATGTGGTAGCACATGTCTGAAATCCCACCATATTAGGAGGCTGAACCAGGAAGATTTCAACTTTGATTCCAGCCTAGACAATTTAGTGACTTAATGAGACCCTGTCTAAAATTTATTTTACTTTATTATTTATTTCTTTATTTATTTTGGTATCGGGAATCGAACCCGTCTAAAATTTGGCTAGTGTTAAGGCCCAGGATTCAATCCCCAGTTCAAAAAAAAAATGTAGATAAAGGTAAATGAGTATATTTGTCATTTTTTTTCCCCCACTAGGCCAAATACATGACATCTGCAATTGGAGTAGACATTTATTTTGGTCCATAGCTTCAGAGGAGTTATTCCACAGCAAACTGACTCTAATACAGAAATTTCAGAGTGGAAAAAAGCTGCTCAATCTATGACAGCCATGAGGGGGAGAGAGTGAGAGACAGAGAGATACAGAGAGAGATGGAGAGAGAGACAGAGAGACAGAGACACAGAGAGAACGGGGACCAGCCCTCACTTCCGAACAGCATTTTCAGCCACGATCAGTCCACAGATGAATACAGAGCCCTCATGATCTGATCATATTCCACTTCTGAAAACGTGATACTTTGGGGGAGTATTGTAGATGTAAACCATAACAGGGACAAATGTAACATTTCTGTTAGCACGTGAATGAGATGATGATGTTACTGAGAGTTACAGGATAAGAATCAGAAGCACAGAGAAAAATGTCTGCTTCAGTCTTTAACATGGGTGAAACTCTTTCACTATGGCTGAACACACAGTGGAGCCAATTAAAATATAACTCATCAGTGAGATGCCAAGTTAAATGCCATGTCCTCAAAAAGAGGTTCTCTGACAACGTTAGCTATCTCTGTGGTCACCACCAATTGTTACCATGATTTATCTTCTTACTGCTTTTTGCTATCTGCAATTACCTTATTCATCTATTTGTTCATTTTATGTTTTCCCACCTGGAATGTAAACTGCACAGGGACAGAGAAATAGTCTCTTCTATTTCTTTTTACCACATTATCCCAGGAATGGGACCACACCAGACTCTCCATACATCCTTGTTCAGAATGGATGGACCTAGAAGTGGTTAAACTGGAGGGCACTGATATATAAATTCCAGGTAACGGTGGTGTGGGTGAGTATAAAGTTTGTGTCTTTGAGATACTTTCTCAGTCCTTATAACATCTCTCACCACCTCCTGCTCCCTTCCACAGGGAAAGTTTACATCACAGAAGAAGGGCCTGAGGCACTATGGAGGTGGATGCAGGAGCCTGAGGACCACATGTGCCCATCAGATGTTCTTGTTTGCCCTAGGACATGTAGAAAACATCGGCACTGACAGGCTGCCATTGAATAGTTTTATCCACTACAGAAAATAAAGACAGCTGTACTCACTACCAGTTCTACAATCCTGAGAAAATGACTTAGGTTGGCGTGACTCAGATCTGGTGGCAACATTTGACCCCATCTCCTACAGTGGGGCAGCACATGGGCAGAGTGGCTGATCCCATCATCCCAACTAAATCATTAAGAGGGTCATCCTTTACTTTTAAAATTAAGCTTATTCATGGCCCATCCAGTCATAGTAAAAAAAGTGACATCCCCACTGGGTGGTGATCAGCTCATAGAAATCTGCTCAGGCTGGGGAGCAGTTGAAAGTGGCGTCTGGGAGCCTAAGATGATGGGGCAGGGGGGTGGACCCTAGAGGAGTCCCTTCTACACATGGCATTTTGGTTTAGAAGTCAGAGCCCTTACACATATCATGAATCTCCCAAAGTGCATTGGTTTCTCGAAAGCCTCTTCTCATGATTCCACAGTGAAGGGTTAGATCCATGGTAAGTACAGAATGATTGTCTGACTGAGGTCTACTGCTGATTGTCTCTCCCTCTTCAAGAATGTCCTCTCCCCCTGAAGCTCTGTACTTGGGTCTTTTGGGAGTGAAATGCCTGGTTCAGATTTTCCCAAGAAGCTTCTTCTTATCCCTAATGGCCAAGGATCCCTGGAAAAGTACGGAGACATACATTGAATAGTTATTTAGATCATCACTCATATTGTCATCCAGTCCCTTATCCCTAATGTGTGAGCCTGAACTTCACTTTGAATTAGGAGTACATTCTCATTCTTCTCCAGTGTGATGAGACAGAAAGGGATTTTAGCCATCAGGGAGTAGAAATCAGAAATCCTGACACATCTGCCCTATGTGCATTCATGTGCATTTTTTCTTAAATACACATGTACCCTCATTTTAAATTTTGCATTCTTTGGCTTTGTTTCTTTTCTCTTCTCTCATTTTCCTTCTCCTTGCTTTCTGTCTGCTTTTTTGTTGTCACATCTTAATTTCTTACCTCTCCCAGTCATTTTTTCTCTTTTTCCTTTGTTCTCTTTCTTTCCTTCCTTCTTGATAGGACATGAAGTGTCAAGTGGATTTGCCTCTGGACATGACTGCTGTTTGTGAGGAGGCACATTTCTAGTCCTGGAGACACTCAGATTTCATTCTGATCCCTAACCTGAGCTGATATAGGTTACATGAGATGACCTCAGAAGAAATACTGTCTCCCAAAAGGCTCTGGAGAATCCTTATATCTAGATCTTTCCTATGGTAGAAAGTCCAGACTGTGCTTGAAAGTCGGGACTTTCTTGGCAGGGTTTCTTTGGGGCATGCATTTCTTAACACCTGCTCCTTTCCAAGTAGCTTGATTCCTAAGTTGAAGACAAGATCTGTTTTCTTGATGTTTGGGGGTATGATTTGCTTACTCCCCAGGTAAACACAGACTTAGTTGTACAAGACCAATGCAATGCTAACTTAGCTACTCCACAACTTTGACAAAATACACAAAGCAAGGAGAGATGAGAGCACAGGAGCTCACAAACATCTATAGGAATTTGTGAAGAGATTCATTTGGAAAATGAAAAGGAAGCTGCAATGAGATGTTTGCATATTCCTGAGGAGAAAAAGCTATATACGTTGACTTTACTGCTAAATTTTAAAGAATTCATAACATATTTCTCCCTGAAGTTGCAGCAAAATTTTGTATTTAAGACTTTGGATATGCTTTGCATTTTAGTTCTTGGCCATGGTAAGTGCCATATTGTAGGTTTTTGTTCATTCATTCAATAATATGTCTTGCACTTGTGCTGTGTACATGGGCAAAACAGAAAGGATAAAGACAGGCAGATTTCTGCCCTCGAAGAGCTTATCCTTCAATTGATTAGGCATATAAACAATTGAAACAAGATATCACTGAAGATCCCTGGGTTTAAAATAGAAAGGAGGCTCTATGACTAAAGTGTGGTGAACATACACAGGATGATGCAGGATGAAGATGGAGGTACAGAAAGAGACAGGGGTCAAGACTGAGCAGAAATTTTATCCTAGTTTAGTTGATGCTTCACAGTCATGATTTTCACAATCATCTCCAAGGCCAAAGCTACAGACTAGAAATTCCCCTTGCAGGGCTAGAGTTGAGCTATTGTTTGTTCCATACTCGCTGTGGTCCCCTAAACCTTACCTTGTGAGATAATGCTACCTTTAACATAATATGTTTCAAAAATCACAGAGTCAGGAAAACCTTTCAGTAGAACTGATTCCAATTGTCCCTTGACTCCTGAATACCTGTGATAGATCTCCCATCCTTTCTGTAGTGTCTGCACTCAATCTGGGTTTGCTAGGATCTGAACAGCTCCTAAAGATTTCTTTTGAAAGGGCATAATGGTCTGTCTTTGCAATTACCTCTATGCAAATATGTAATGAATTAACATACAAGCTATTTCTGTTATTTTCCTTTACTGATCTTTACAAACAATTAGAAAATGAACCTTGCCAAAAATCTTGTTCAAAGGTGAGGTTCTTCAAACTGTTGGAAATCAGCAACACCAGGAGGGAAAAAAGAAAAAAAAACATGGATAGAGTAATTTTTATTCCTCTTCTACCTAGATTGACCTCTTGGCCCAAATCCAAATGTTGTTTAAAATTTGCCTGCTATTACACAATGAAAGTTTAAACTTGGATGCAATTTTCCAAAGTCAGCATCTGTTATAGCACAGTTTGGTTTATCTCCCATTTAGATTCTTGCAGAATTTTCTTATCTAGTACTTTTTAAATTAGAAAACTCTTCCAGGATTTCAGTCCTGAGTATTCAGTTATTTTGAAAAAGACTTACACCTTTGGATAGACATCTTTGTATTTCAAGAGCTCCACTCTGAGAAACTCCTTCATGGAGTAGCTTTTCCAGTAAGATCAACAACTGGTAGACAGGACCAAATTGCAACCAAATTCTTGCTTTCATGGGTTTGGGGTTACTAGGAGCTGTGCATTGTTCCAGTTGTTCTGTAGATATTTCCTGCAATGTTGTTTACATGCATTGATTTCTCAAGGCAAGTGTTGAAGCTCAGCAAAATTTCTTCCTAAAAAGAAAAATGTATACTAGGTGAACTCAGGTTTTCTTACACTGCCTCCTGTCCACCTTTAACCTCCAAATCCTTCCAAGGAAGAAGTATGATGTGGGAAATAGAAAGAAAGGTAAAAAAAAAAAAATAGGAAGAGGAAAAGAATAACAAGGAAATAGTCCATGGGAAGGGTAGAAAAAACAGAAGAGAGGAAATAAGAGAAGGAGGCTTTGAAAGGAAGGTTTGAAAGATCAGCTCCAAAGGAGGCATTGGAAGGAAGTGTGAGGAAAGAACTGGGGGAAGTTAGAGCTGATGAAACAATGATGGGGGAATTTGGAAGTGAAGGCAGAGGAAATTCAGTGTTTAGCCTCAAAGTGACTGCAGCCTTGTCCAAGCTTTCTACTGTTGCTATAACAGATTGCCATAAATTTTTTTTTGTTTTGTTTTTCTCCGGTACCGGGAACCGAACTCACGACCTTGCACTTGCCAGGCAGGCGCCTTTGCCACTGAGTTAAATCCCCAGCCCCGCCATAAATTTTTTGGTTTGAACAGTTTAGGGTCAGACATCTGAAACTCATCTCACCAGGCTAAAATCAACGTGTCAGGGATGCTTCTTTCATAGAGTCTCTAAGGTAGAATTTATTTCTTTGCTTTTCAACTTTCTGGAAGTTTCCCACAGTTCTTGGCTAAGGTCCCCTTCCTACATCTAAAAATCCCAAATTGTCAAAGCCAGCAATGGCAGATTGAATCTCACACAGAATAACTGGTTTCTCCTTCTATTGTCATATCTTTCTCTCTCTCTCTTCCCTTCCTCTTTCCCCCTTCC